TATAAATTTTAACTTTATCAAATATATTATATAATTATTATTAAATATTTTAATATTTTAATATTACGATGTCTAGATTTTTTTTCTTTTTCCTTATAATAATAGACTAATTTTTGCACTTTTGTTATTGTCCTCAGCTTAGTGAACAGATTGTACCAACCTCTCTTGTAATTGGTTTCAACTTGCCTACTTAATTCAAATATTGTAACACCCTTACCTAATTGTACCTTTTTGGATCACTTTGCATGCATTCATTTCACTGTTATATCGCCAAGCATCTTCTAGGAAATATCCAGCTAAATCCCTTCTTTAAAGGTTGCCCTTTTCCTTTGCTGTCTCACCTTTTCTTATTATCAGACACAATTTGGCTTGCAATTGAGTGAGAGTAGATCTGCAGTTGCTTCCAATTTGCTTTGCCTAACTATTTCGATTATCAGTGTTCACTTTCTTCAATTTCTTCCATTGAACTTTCAGGTATACTATCAATCAAAGATATTCAATCTTGATTCTAAACATTTATGTTATCTTTAAAGTATGTATTAAATAAAAATTATCAAATTTTCTTTGGATGCGTGACCTTTTTTTCAATATTTTTGTTTGATTCTTCAGTTTTAAATTGTATCTTAACAAATTATTAGATTTTTTTCTCTTCAGATTTCCTTTTACCTAATTAATCTGTAATTACTTAACAAATTTTTTGAGTTTTTCTTTTATTGATTGTATTTGCATCATGTTCTACTTTCAGGAAATATTGGTCAATCTCATTGTTTACAAAGGAATAGGCTTACAATTAAACAGATCTACTGGTGCTTGTAATTTACTTGGTTTAGTTTGGTCATCATCCTTAATTTCTTCAATTTCATTTGTTAAACAGGTAAGTGTACTATCTAGATCTTTAATCTTGATTTGCCTAAGTTTTTGTTGAAGTATATAAGATGAGAAAAAATGTAGATACAAATCATTAATATATCAAACTTTCTAAACCACCTTTTCATATTACATCTTGCTTTGGGCGTAATCAATTATAAGTTTATAACTAATCAATTGATATTTTGAACTATTCTTCCCTTTGTTTTCTTTTCTTTTCTTTTCTTTTTTCTGGGTTTTTTTTGCTTTGGTTTAATCCAGGTAAAATCAAATTCAACAAATTTTATTCGAGTCCATTATTAGCATGGTTATCGATAAGTTTTATTTGAATAATCAAAATATTAGTGTCAAATTCACCGGCTCAACTAAGATTTTGTTAAGTATGATTATAACTTTTTATTTTTTGTTTTAGTTTTTATGAATTTAATAACTATAAATAAAACTTAAACATATTTATTTTTATGTGTTTTCGGAACATATTTTCAAAATTATTAAATAAATAAAAACAAAAATAGTTTAATATTATTATATATGTCTATATTTTTTTGTTTTCAATATTGTTAAAACTTGTCTTAAACAAATTATTGATTTTTTATTTTGAAATTTTCTAACATGTACCCTTATTAGAAAACAAATTAAGGGTGATTTATTGTCCCTTTTCATCATTAATTTACATGAAAAAAATACTAATTGACTTAAATTTTATTAAATATCTAATTAAATTGTTTTATATGGTATTAATATTGAAAATTCTATACAACAGTTACAAAAAAAAATTGTTACCCGTTTTCATTTACATTGTGTTAAATGGCAATCTTAATCCCTCAATTTTAAAATTTTACATAATTTTTGTTTCTCAATTTTTTATATTTTTTTTTGTCCATTAACTATAAAAAAATGTATTTTTTAGTCTTTTTATTAATTAATCTATTAAGTCTATCTAAATATACAAATTTTTAATCTCTCTATTTATAATATATACACAAATTTTATCCCTCAATTTTTAATTTATTTATTTATATAATTTAGATAAAAAAAGTTTGAAACAAATTAACTAAAAAAAAAAGGAAACGTCAAAAAGTAGGAAATATAATAACAATTAGGGGATAAATTAACCTATTTGAAACAAAGAAATTAAATTATTTGTCATAATAATTATTTGGTCAAATTGTGAGAAGA